TTCTCTAGGTCACTGCTAGGGAAAGTCACCATAACCACAAGAACACTGTCACACCATGAGGTCTTAGAGTAGCCTTATGGAAGGTTCTACATGACAATAGCCAGGACAAACTTGTCAGATGTCATGGGGGAGCTACAGTGGAGGTAGGTCTCCAGACCTGACTGCAGCCTCCTATAAACCCCTGAACCATGACTACCCAGCCAGGCCATCCTGGATCCCAGTCCATCTCGTAGTTAGTCACACAGCAACAGAGAGCTGACATGGTAACCTTGGGGAACTTTTCAGTACTCCCTTTCTTTAGTACACAAAAGGAAGCAATTAATAACAGCTATATCAGAAGACAGCTGAGTGAAGCCAATGCAAACCCATCCAAAGTGACTGTCCTAGAGCCCACATTCAACCCACACCACCCAATAACAGGACACATTAGGACCTATCCGTCTACAGGCCTGCACACAGGCAATGGGCCACTGAGCATCAGGTGTGAAGGGCAGGGACATAAAAGCAAGGGTCTGAGTGGGTAGGGCCTTGAGCATCACTTACCTCAGGGAACTGCCTTCCTAGCAGCTCAGAAACTCAAGGCTGGGTACTTCATGTGGCTGCAGGTCCCTCCTACCTCCTCACTTAAGTCAACATCTCCACGACACACCTGTGCGCATTCAAATCCCACTGCCTGGAACATTCTTTCATAAGCACTACTGAATGTACTCTAAAAATGTCTGAACTCTCCACAGCTGCAGACAAACAGAAGGCCCACAGACCTCCAATGTCAGGAATCGTGGCCCTGCTGAGCATTCTTTTATTAAGATATATTTCCCAAATCTACATTAATAAGTACAGTGTCAGCAGACAGCATGAGAGTAACTCCCCAATGTTGGGAGGAGGGCGTGCAAGGAACCACTGGCAAAATGGCCACCAAGGAGAAAGAGCTGGTACCCCCCCCCTCCCAGGAGAACCCCAGAAGTCCAGTCACCATCTCAAATCCAACCAGCACTGGAGATGATCAAGAACTATTTCCTGCAGCCAGGACAGTTACACATAGAAACCCTGTCTCAACCCCTCCCGGCCAAAAACAAAACAAAACAAAAAAAAAAAAAAAACTATTTCTTGGACATCTGTGCCCTAACACCAAATCTACATCCACACCAGCAAAGGCAGAAGCCTGATGGGCCTGTCCTGGCTACACGGTCCATACGGTCCATGGCTGTAATTATCTGTATTTTCTATGTGAGCTGAATTCAGAGTAATCTTAGTCAGTCACCCGACAAGAGCAAACCTTCAACAGCCTTGGGATTTCACAAAGCCCACACCCATTGGTTTTAGAATCTGTTGCATTTTTGACTCTAGACCACTCAATCTAAAAACATCAGCCACTCTCCAGCAAGGAAGCCCAAACACTTGGGCTTTGCTTAGTCATCTCATTGTATGCACAGTCAAGCCTAAAAGACTTTGTCCACATGGCTGCTGACCTGCTAGGAGCCCAGCTCACTCAGTGCCCATCCATCTCTCACACACTGGCCTCTGCTTCCTGGGAAGTCTGACCTACATCATACAACTGCCTTATTCATGCCCTTCCCACTCTGGGGTGGTCCTACCACAACATGGCAGGCATCCCCAAGAGGAAACATTCCAGTTTTCAGTCTGCTAACACCAGCAAAGAAGCTGGGGCAGCTCCTGGCTCCTTTAAACCATTGTTTTGACCATGAGAAATGGGCTCCATTTTAAGTAACTTGTCATAGGCCCTAGAAGTTCAAGCCTGGGGTTGTTCCGGATAATTCACAGCAGTTGGCTATGTACCAACTGGGTTCCAGGCCAAACCCAGAGATGTAGATTCAGGTCCAGGGGTGATATTCTGGGAACCCCATGCTTTGACAGCTGCCCTGGTGACTCTGAGACCTACACATCCAAAATAAAAATTTTAAAGGAAAACAAATGCACTTTAATGTTTGGGAACAACCTTAAGATGTTCCCTGACAAGGCTCCCTCCATGCTGTGGTACCCTGGAGAATGGCCTTGTCTAGCCCTATTGAGTCTCTGGAGTGGCATGTACCCTGCTACCCCTGTTTGTCTCCCACAGTCACACCTGGAAAGTGAGAGCCACCTGATGACTATGTTACCACCCTTGACATTCAGGTTGAGGAGCAAAGACCCATACATCTAAAGGGCTCCAGATCAAAACTGAGAAAATGTAATCAGAGCTAGCCTCAGCTGTCAAACATGGTAGCACACACTTGAAATCCCAGCACTTAGGAGGCAGAAGCAGGGTAATCAGGAGTTCAAGGTAATCTTTGGATACACAGAAACTTCAAGGGTAACCTGAGATATGTTAAGACCAGAGGATCCCATCTCAAAGAATGAAAGGCTGAAAGCAAGAAAGGTCTAGAGAGAGACTCAGCTGAGAATGAAAGCAACCATCATCAGTTCTAGCTAGCAAGGTTCCCAGAGGCAGAGAGTTGTTAACCGAGAATAACAAACTGTTTTGCATGCTAGGATGAAACAGAAAAAGACGGCATCGCCTGATGAGGGATGTCCTTCTCTCTCTTTCTCTCTCTCTCTCTCTCTTTCTCTCTCTCTCTCTCTCCCCTCTCTCTCTTTCTCTGTGTACACACACACAAACACACACACACACACACACACACACACACTTCTCTTATTGGTTGATGAATAAAACACTGGCCAATAGCCAGACAGGAAGGATGGGTGGGGTGACAAGACCAGGAAAAGGCTGGGGAAGAAGGCAGAGAGAGGCTGTGAAGAGACACCATGTAGCAGAGGAAGGAGTAACAGGTCTGGGCCCTTCTCTGGCAAGATAAAAACATGTGGAAATGCTTAGAATAATAGAAATGGGTTAATAACTAAGACAGAGCTAGCCATTGACCAACATTTGATAATTAATATGTCTGTGTATGCTTATTTAGGGCTGAAGGGTGGCAGGACCTGGTGGGACAGAAACCTCCATCTTCAACTGCCATTAAAAATAACATGTATATGTCAGGCACTGGTGGCACATGCCTTTAATCCCAGCCCTTGGGAGGCAGAGACTGGTGGATCTCTGTGAGTTCGAGGCCAGCCTGGTCTACAGAGCAAGTTCTAAGACAGCCAGGTCTGTTACACAGACCTGCCTTGAAACCCTGCCTTGAAAAACTAAAACCAAACAAACAAACAAACAAACAAAAACAACAACAAGCAAAAAAAAAAAAAAAAAAAACCCAGCATGTACAATAAGCCCCAAAGGCAGTATATAAAGCACGCACTAACAGACTAACAGAAATCACCGTTACTTCACAGCCAGCAGGCAGTATGGATTTTTCCTGTGTTGTGGGAGGGCTAGGCTTGCAGTTGGCCTAGACACTTTGGCTCCATTGAGACATGCACACTTTGGCTCCATTGAGACATGCAGTCACGGCAAAGCTAGTGTGCTCTAATGCACACCACAGCTGCAGCAGGCCCCTCTGAGTTGTCTCCCTGCCTACACCTCATCCCAGGCATATCAGCAGTGTCTGCTCATCTTGACCACAACCCCTTGGCCATAAGTGACTGAGTACTCACCACATGACTAAACTGAGCTAGACAAATACCTGTGCTGTCAGCTGTAAATACAGGTCCATTAGGGAGGTCAAATTGGGCCACACATGCAGATAGGAGAGGAAGGAGGGAAACGGAAGCTAACGGCAGGGGTACACACACCCAGTAGTTTCCCCTCTATGGAGATCCTGGGGGAAGGTTGTCATCTCCCTTCACCTTTCTGAAATAGATTTGTGTTACTTGCTAGCAAAGAAAAGAAAGAGATATCTTGATAGAGAGAGCCATTATGGAGTTAGGGAAACACCTGGTGCTAGGGACATTCCCAGGAATCCACATGGATGACCCCAGTTAAGACAAGACCCTTAGCAATAGTGGAGAGGGTGCCCAAACTGGCCTTCCCCCTTAATCACATAGGTAACTACCCCAGCTGTCATCATAGAGTCTTCATCCACTAATCAATGGAACCAGATGCAGAGATCCACAACCAAGCCCCAGGCCAAGCTCCGAGAACCCAATTGAAGAAGGGGATGAGGGAACATATGAGCAAGGGAGGTCAAGATCATGATGGAGAAATCTACAGAGACAGCTGAACAAAGCTTGTGGAAATTCACGAACTCTAGACCTACAACTGTGGAGACTCCAGGGGACCGAGCTAGGCCCTCTGCAAGTGGGAGACAGTTGTGAAGCTTGGGCTATCTAAGAGACCCCTGGCAGTAGCACCAGGATCTATCCTTGGTGTATGAGCTAACTTGCTGAAGCCCATTCCCTATCATGGGATGTCATGCTCAGCCTTAATGCATGGGGCAGGGGCTTGTTCCTACCTCAACTTAATGTACCAGGTTTTGCTGACTCCCCTTTGGGAGGAGTGGATGGGGAGTGGGCTGGGGGGGGGGGGAGAGGTGAAGGGGTTGAGAGGGAGAACTGTGATTGGAATATAAAATGAAAATAAATAAGTAAATAAATAAATAAATAAATAAAACCTTTAAACATTAAAAAAGAAAAAGAAAAGAAACTCTGGGCTAAATAATTAAAACCCACTTACCAACTAGAGGATGTCACCAGAAATTTTCATTTCTGAAGACCCACATTGATTCTCCCCCCTCCTTACCACTTCTAACAATGCACATATGCTTTTAATATAAACATGTGAGGGTTTGTTGTGACAACTGGTTTGAAAGCAGAAGCAAGGCAACCACCAATACGAGGGATCAGCACAAGGAAAGCTCCATGCCAAACAGCCCTCACATGCCCTTCTCTAGTGAGCGCTCAGCCAGGACAGCTGAGGAGGACAAGGAGACATGATGCACAGTAGGGACTGGACACCAGCCCACTCTGCCCTGTTAGACTGGGCCAGATGGGGCTTTCTCAACAGAACCCAAACTCCTGACTCAAAATGGCACACATGTCTCTGTGAGGCCTTGGAGGACCATCCCTCCCAAGTCCCAGCCCAGTGGAAACATGGAGATGGTACAAACCTCAGGCTGGATGGCTTTGAAAACGGGGATGTCCATCAGTGTGATCTGACTCTACAAGAGAACAGAGGTACAGGGTTAGAGGCTTTTAAACTGAAACTTGAAACACAGAAGTCTTATGAATTTATGGGGTACCATGTTGTGTATGGTGTGTAACATTTAAATCAGGTTAGAGATATCTATCTTCATGATAAAAAACCTTCAAGATCCTCCATGTTTTCTGCAGTACACAACTCACCCTGTGCACTAACACTGAAACTTCTTTCTCCACTCATCAGTCCCACCACACAACTCTCCCCTCCTCCCAGACTCTCCAGGCTCAGGAAACCACCTTTCCACCATAGTTCCCATGAGACTGACCTTTTTATTTTATTTTATTTTTTTATTTACTTATTTATGCTTTTTCAAGACAGGGTTTCTCTGTTTAACAGTTCTGGCTCTCCTGGAACTCATTCTTTAGACCAGGCTGGCCTCAAACTCACAGAGATCCACCTGCCTCTGCCTCCTGAGTGCTGGGATTAAAGGTGTGAGACACCAATGCCCAGCTCAACTGACCTTTTTATATACCACATAGGAGGGAGACCATTTGACGCATGTCTCTCAATGCCTGACTTTCTTCACTTAACAGAATACTCTCTAGTCCTAACTGTGTTGTCTCAAGTGACAAGATTTCATTCTTTTTTGTTGTTGTTGTTGTTGTAAGTCAGCCTTTAATGGCTGAGCCATCTCTTTAGCCCAATTTCATTCTTTTTTTAAGGCTGAATAATAACTAAGAAGCTCTAGCCATTTGCCAACAGCTTTATAACTAACAGAGTCTCCGTGTGTTATTTTGGGACTGACTCGGCAGTGGGACCAGGCTGATGGGAAAGTGCTCATGACAAAACGGCACATGCAATATGGGTACTAAGAACATCCATTTAAAACTTGACAAAAGCTTAAAAAGGGATTTTAGAAACAAAAGAACAGAGACAAGCAAGGCTTCTTGGTAGCAGCATTTTTCTCAAGCAGGCTCTGTTTTGCTAAAGACAAGCAGAGACTCAAATGGCTCCTTTAAGGGAGGCTCCCTGACTCAGCATAAACGGAAAGAAAAAAAAAAAAAAAAAAACTGCAAGGCTCTTTTAAGAGGCCCTACTAACAATAAAATGGCATTCTGAGCAACTGGCAGTGGCATTGACCACATCTCCAAGCCAGCAGCATGCTGCTAGATGGCAGCATAGATCAAGGTGATGAGCACAGCTCTCAGTACCCCCACCCCCACCATCTTGGAAAGACTGGCTAAAACAGCTGCAGCTTTAATTTTAGCAATGTTGTTTAGCAGATAAAAGCAGAGATATTCAGTAAAGACAAATTCAGAGAGAAAAAGTAAAACCTCTGAAGGTTTACAGTGTGTTTAAAAATATGTGTAGGCAGAAGCAAGCAGATCTCTGTGCTTTCGAGGCCAGCCTGGTTTACAGAGTGAATTCCAGGCAAGACAAAAGTGCACAGAAAAACCCTGTCTCATAAAAGGAAAAAGTAAAAGTAAAAGAAATAGATTAATAATAAACAAATAAGCCACATTAAGATGGAAAATACACAGAGAGTCTGGATACTCTATGCTATTGTGTTGTCTTTAAATTGACTGCTGAGGAAATAGCAACAACTGCTAAAACAAATGCTGGTGGATTAATCCAATTTATGTATTTTAAAAATTCTTTGACTTCTAAATTTAAGTATAAGGACATGTTACTTTGGAAAAAAGGTGTTATCTGTGTTTCCACAGAAAATGAAAAGCTGTGGATTCCTTCCAGACTAACATGGTTTAATCAAGCAAAACCCCCTGAAGCAGTGTCCCAGGTGATCCAACATTAAAAACAGCTAGGACAAGGCAGCCTTGCAGACCACTACAGTCAGGATTTCTGCATCTTCTTAGGATCCCCATAGTATAAACAGCACCCCCAATCAGCAGGAAGCGGTTTGGAAAGAACAACACCCAAACTCCCAAATATTGTTTATAAATGTTTGTTTTCATTTAAATGGGGTTGGTTATAAATGGTTAATGATCACAACCAATCTCTTTTTAAAGGTAAAAGGGGAATATGGCATAGAAATGAAAAGTTTATATTGGAATGGATTTTTATTTATTGATATAAATTTAAGGTCAATTTTGTGATATGTATATTTCTCTTCTTGCTTAGGTATTGTGTTTGTATAGCTCATTTAAAAATGAGCTATAATTAAGTACAGATTATGGCTAGTTACCTATGATAGTCAAAGTTTATAGTTAGGTTGGTTAGGTTTTCTAAATATACAGAGATACATTTCCACTGGATAGGCATTCTTCAAACCTTTCAAAGACCTACACAATATGGCATTTAAAATGGTTTAGGGTTTTTCTTGACAGTGAGACACCACTGCTCCTGGCAACACCAACTGCATCAAAAAGGATGATGGACATCAAAGAAACTCATTGTGGAGTTTGCTTCCAATATGGCAAGACTAGCCATTTGGGCAAGATACTGCTCTTGTCTGGACTGTTTGACTTTATGCTGTATAAACTGGACATGCAGGGCCCACAGAAAAGTGACTGCTGAAACAAGATGGATGGACAGTACTACAGGGTTCCTGCTTCATGGAAGAGTCTGCCAGATATCCTTCATGACACACAGAGAAAAGTGACTGGCAAACTGCCAACACTGGTGAGTTAGTTTGAAATTTCCTGCTTTGCCGAAAAGTCTGCTGAGAAGTCGGCCTATGGGCCAAAGATGGATGCACCAATTTTACAGAAGAACTTTGGATGACTGTCCTGGTAGTGAGATGTCTCTGTCATTTCTAGAGTTTATATACTATCCTTCTGTGGTCTTTGATGGAGTTGAAGACAGATAGTTATGGTTATAGTTTTCCTTAGTTAGGATTAGAGATATGTTACATATAAGACTTTAGACTCACAAAGATAGGATAGATGATGGAATATTTTCTTTAAATCTTGCTAAATGTTAATGGACTAAATATTGTTAACTATAGTTCTTATTTGATAACTGTTTTGTTATATGTTTTACTATGTTAAAGTTAAAACCCTTCTTTTAGACAGAAAAGAGAAGATGATGGTAGATGTCATTCTATACATATGTTTTTCTTGTTGGTTAATGAATAAAGCACTGTTGGCCAATAGGAAAGCAAGATAGGTGGGACTAGGAGAGGTGGAGGATTCTGGAAAATGTAGTAGAGTTGCAATGTGATTTCAGGAGGAGGACGTGAGTCTAGCATTCTCAGTAAGATAAGACCATGTAGAAAATACTTACATTAGTAATTATGAGTTAATAATTTAAGACAAAGCTAAATGCTCTAGCCACTGGCCAACAGCTTTATAACTATTAGAGTCTCTGTGTGTTATTTTGGGACTGATGTGGCTCTGGAACCAGGCTGGCAGGAAAGTATTCGCAACAAATAACCCACTGTCTATATGTGCCCCATTTTCCTTATCTATGCAAAGATTTACCAACTCAGTTTGTTTCCATGTCTTGGATATCATGAATGGGCCTACAACAAACAGAAGTATGGGCTTCACTTGCTTTGGAGACATACCCAGGGCTAGGGTTGCTGGCTCATACACTAGTTCTTTAAATTTTTTAGGAGCATCTTCGGTTTTCTGTGTCAGCTACGCTAACATACATGCCCAGCCACAGCACACACGGGTAACCTTTTCTATGCATCTCACCAGTGAATGCTGTCTTTCAACTTTTTGGTAACAGGCCTTTTCCTTGAGGTTAATGAGATCTCATATATTTGAGCTGCCTTTTCCTGATGACTTTAGGACATCCTTACACGTCCCATAGCCTCCTGCATGCCTTTTCTAGGAAAGGCTACCTGGTCTACTGTCCAGTTATAAATCCCACTATCTGTTTATTTTGGTTTCATCTGTGCTTTTTGCTAGTGAGCTTTCTGAAATTCCTTATACATTCTGGATCTTAACCTCTTGGTGAATTACAATTTGGAAGCATTTTCTCCATCTTGTGGGCCACTCCTTCACCCTCCTGAATGCTTCATCATTCTTAGTGTCTGATATGATCCCATTAGTCTGTTGATGACTTCATGTCTTGACCTCTCCAATCCTCTAAAGCAGTGGTTCTTATCTTCCTAATGCTGCAGCCCTTTACTACAGTTCCTCAACCATAAAATTATTTCATTGCTCCTTCATAACTGTAATTTTGCTACTGTTATGAATTGTAATGTAAACATCTGAAATGCAGAATATTTGGCATGTGACCCCCATGGAGGTCATGACCCACAGGTTGAAAACCACTGCCCTAAAGCATCCCTTGTCATGTCCCCACCCTGGTGTTTTCTCCTGCTGCTTTCAGTTTCAAGTCATTTTAACACAGTCGGAGTTGGTTTTTATTGCTGATGAGAGACAGAAATAAATTTCTGTGCTACCTGCCCTACCACACTTCCCTCCTCATAAGTCTGTGCCTGCGTCCTTCCCTTTGAAAATGAGATGAACTTCTAGCCTCAGAGCTGATCATAATCATTTGGAAGATGGAGCAGGAGTAAGGGAAACACTTCTTAGTCTGAAAAGAAATTTTTTTGTTGTTTTTTTCAAGACAGGGTTTCTCTGTGGCTTTGGAGGCTGTCCTGAAACTCACTCTGTAGACCAAGCTGGCCTCAAACTCACAGAGATCCACCTGCCCCCCCCCCCCCCCCCGCCAGTGCTGGGATTAAAGGTGTGTGCCACCAACGCCCTGTTAGTCTGAAAATTTTTATGCTGCTTGTGTTCTTGTTTCAAGTATGAACTACTTTCCTAATTTTAAAAAGTTGTAGATACACTATTTTTAAATTTGTGTGATAGAGACACTATCAATTTACTCAGATTTAAATAAATGGTAGCACATGGAAATTAGACTTTTCTTCTGAAGCCTCTACCTCCTTGAAATTACATGGTAGAGAGCTGTCTGAGATGTGACCCCCATATGAGGCCCTGAATGTTTATTATCCCACCAGCCCTGAGTGAGGTCAGAGCAGAAGCTAAGAGGCAGCTTTGAGGATTTGCAGGCAGCATGCCATGGCCACACCATTCCCACTGCCCTCTTCTCAGGGCTACTCTTGCACAGATTGAAAAGAAACGAGGAGGGCCCTGGGACCAGGGAAAGGACACCACTTATAACAATTCCTTGGGCCAACGTGACTTCATTACTTATCCACCTTTGTATGTCACATGCGAGCCAGGTGTCACTTGCCACATGCTCACACCAAGAAAACACTAGAGAAAAAAAAAATGGCAATACATAAAGTGTGTTACCTATGACCATAGCCAGGGCATAGGCACAGAACTGTGGCCAGTTCCTGGCACAATTCAAAAGTGCTCTGAAGTCACTGGGTTGCTAAAAAGAACCAAACACAGACCAAAGCATAGCATCCTCAGAGTTGAATGTGAAGAAAATGGGCAGGGATTTGCTCCCTCCCAGGGCACAGAGGGGAACACTGACACCAATGAAAGCTTGGCACCAAGAATCATGAGGCTCCTGATGGAATCCCAGCCTGTGTGCTTTCACCTGGTGGCAAAGGGTGTGTGACATCTGCATATCCTGTCCTCATGATCTGGGTAAGAGTGGCTACTGAGTATTGCAGGCCCACAGAGCACAGAGCTCCATTCTGGGCAGTGCAAGCAACTGCTACCTTTTCTGTTATAAATACATATACACATATTACATGTATGCATATACATTTTGCATATGTATGTACATATATATATATATATATATATATATATGGAGAGAGAAAGAGAGAGAGAGAGAACACCACCTGACTCAATTGCACCAACACAAGAAGCAGAAAGGCCTTTTGAAAACAGATTTGAGCCAACATCTCAGGGTACCTTGGAAATGTCTCATGTGATTCCAGTTCACATCCCTCCTGTCCAGTGGGAACCAGGAGTGTGCGCAAGGACACTTAGAAGAGCCCATGTCCAGCTGGTGTGATGATGAGATGTCCTTTCCCATTGCCATCTATTTATGAGTTCATACAGAATTTCCAGGGGAGCTATTACAATGAGGACCTATGTTTCACATCCTGATCCTAGCTCAGGATGTCATCAGGGAACAGTGCTCAGATGTTCTCCTCAAGACACATCAGTGGCTGGGGAGACAGGCTGATGGGTAAAGTGCTTGTTCTTCAACCTGAGCCTGGATCCCAGCATGTTCATAAAATGCTGGGAGGCAGGGGTGGGGGTCCCTGGAGCTCCCTGGCTGCAATCTACTCTAGTTGTGAGCCCCAGGCCAGCAAGAGAGCAATAGGGAAGGACACCTACCATTGTTCTGGCTCCATACATACCCATGTACACCACGTGCACATGTACACACAAGGGGAAAGAAAAAACAAACAAACAAACAAACACCAACAGTGCTGGTCCTGGGATGGGGACTGTCTGTTCCTAACACAGAGGTTTTCAGAGACCTACTCCCATTTCTACCTCTTAGCTTTTTACCAGAAAGGATGCCATATCCAGGGCAAGCCTCTAGCAAGACAAATACCAAAGTAAAACTCACCAGGCCACCAATGTCACACTATTTTACTACCATGACAAACTTGTTCAAAGGTTGCTGCTGGGGTATGGAGGCTGTAGAACTGTCAGTTAATCCCAAAGGATGGGGTGGAGGGGTAGGGGATGGCACACACTAGGGGCCTACAAGGTGAGACCAAGTCCCATTCCCCACTTGTTTCCAGGCACCAATTCACCCAGTAGAGAGCAAACCTCAGGGTCATGTGGCCACATCTGTTATGCTTTTCTCTATCCCCAAGAGCCAGGACCACTCAAAACACTGAGCCAAGCTTTGAAGAGAAATGGCTACTCACCACATACTACAATACATCTCTGCAGGGATGAATGCTACAGCCTGTAAGGGGCTTATCAGAGCACTGTATATCCCCCTCCCACCCACCCCCCAAAAAAAGTGGTTTTATGTGGTTAAGGGAAGCTAGTTGGTTAACCAAAGGGAAAAAAACTGGGTTTTGTTTATGATGAATATACATATTCCTAACAGTGCCACACTAAATCCTCACACCCAAGCCACAGCCTTCTTGTAAGATTTTCCCAAGACCATAATGAGCAAACAAATCTGTTGGGTAATATTGTATCATATGATAGATGATACCTGAAAGTCTGCCATTAGATCCTTCTGCCAATGAACAGCCGCAAGCACTAAACAGTCAGCTCCAAAGGTACACCTCAGTTAAGAGCTCACAGAGCCAAGGGAGGCCACAACCAGAATGATGGTAGTCACAGCCAGAGCCATAGGAGCAATGAGCAAAACCACAGCCAGAGCCATAAGAGCCATAGACAGAAGCACAAAAACTACAACCTATAAGGAGCCACAGGAGGCCACAACCACAGCCACAAAAAGCCCCAATGACAGCCACTGAAGTCATCATGATCAGAGTCACAGGAATGACAAACACGGACATGAGAGGCCATGACCACAGCCACAGGAATCAAGACAAGAGCCATGGGAAGCTATAACCCAGCGTCATTATAGGTCAGAGCCAGAGCCACAGGAACCCATGACCAGAATCATGGGAGCTATGTATGACCACAGCCTCAGGAACTACAACCAGTGCCACAAGAGCCTCGTCTAAAGCTATGGAAGACCACAACAAGAACCAGAGAGTAATGATTAGAGTCACAGTAGACCACAACCAAAGCCACAGAAGACCATGACTACAGCCATAGGAGCCATGACCAGAGCCATGGGAGGCTATGACTGGAACCACAAAAGTCATGACCAGAGACAATGGGAGGCCATCACCAGAGCCACAGGAAGGCCACAACAGAGCCATGATAGCCATGACCAGGCCATGACCAATATTTGAGAAACCTCAGATTCTCATAATGGGAATACAGACCATACAAAGAGAAGCTGCTGGCTGGCAGCCAGAGTCACACAAACACAGCAAAGATCCCCTTGCAGTTGGCATGTAGAAGAATAGGGCCTCTATACCATGGGGACCAGGAAGGAGGAGGAAGAGGAGTGGGAGGGGGGAGAGGGAGGAAGGAAGGGAGGAAGAGAGCATGTCAGGGACCAGTCATGGCTCTGCACAGAAACATAGCCTTGGAAGAGTAATCAGTCAGGCTTGAAGTCACCCCTGCCTGGCAAAACCATTCTTCATCCATCACTCATTCTCCTACTGTGGACATACGCCATATTCCCAACCTGGGCAAAAACCCAGAGTCATGACTCCCTCCAGCACCCTGTGATGGCACCACCATCCATATCAGCTCCATGTCACTTACGGCAAACTCCTCGGGAGTCACTTTCAGAACGTCAAAGACGACAGCGTCATAGCTCTTGCTGGCATAGTCGCAGCTCTGGCCCTCCAGAGAGTCTGAGCTGCTGCTGCCCTGTGAAGAAGGCAAAGAGAAACACCACTTGACTGGTCTGGCCTGAGGTTGCTGCCACCCCAAACCTCCCCAGAATGGAGACTGAGTGACAGGTTCTCATGATGGAAAGTGTCTGCTGCTTGTCACTTTGCTCCCTGCTAGGTTCTGCGGCGCTTCACACCATCTTAGTCTTGAGGGGTTCCCTACACGTACATGCTAGGATTCCCACTGTACAGTAAGCAAGCAGAGTCAATGTTACTTCTCCAAGGTTTCTTGCCCATGATGCTGAAAGCCAGAATGTGAACCCAGTTTTCTATCTGAACCCCCAAAATGACTGGGGACCACTACCCCTAACAGCTTCTAGCCAGCAGTGCAATGACAAGGGAGAGTCTGATCCCAGAGCTGGGATTTAGCTCAGTGTAGAGCACTCATCTAGCATGCTCAAGGCCCAGTTCTGTCCTAAGAACCCAAAAGAAAAGAGAGGAACCCTGGCCTAATTCTCCCTCAGAACAGGCCTTCAGATTCAGGAGATCATCCATTTTGTTGACTTTCTTTCTTTCTTTCTTTTAATGATTTTATTTCATTTATGCACATGTATGTGTACCATATATGCACAGGTGCCCAAATAAGTCAGAAGAGGGTACTGGATCTCCCAGAGCTGGAGTTACAGGCCATTGTACTGGGAGCCAAACTCGAGTCCTCTGCAAGAGCAGACAACACTCTTAACTTTGGAGCTACCTCTCAGTTCCCCTTCACTCCTCTTAGCTGCTCAGTACAGGGCACTGTGACACAAAAGGTAAAGCTGGCACGCACACACACGCGCACACACGCGCACGCGCACACACACACACGCGCGCGCACACACACACACGCACACACACGCGCACACACGCGCACGCACACACGCGCACGCACACACACGCGCGCGCACACACGCGCGCACACACGCGCACACACGCGCGCGCACACACACACACACAGAGTGGTAACTGCTGAGCTTCGAAGACTCTTGGGGAGCAATCCTCTTGTATTCTTTGCTGAGTCCTGTGTATGAGGACAGGGGCCTCTCACAGGGGCACAAGAGGAAACTCCCCAGATTGGATGGAGTTCATGAAGGCCACCCAGTGAAGATGCCAAAATGTTGGACATGCCTTCTCTTTAATGTGACTACATTTCTTTAACTCCACTTGGGTACCTGTGTCTGTCCATAAATGGTTTTATTCACCTCAATTCATGGGGGAGAACTTTGTGACTTCTACTCATTCCACCATCTTACAGTAGGGGTGAGGGAATCTACTTCTGTTAATTTCTCTTTATTTCACTTTCTATCTGGGGAAATGTTGCAATCGTACTGGAAACTAGGGTGTTTTTAGGTCACTGAAGAGAGCTAATAGTTATGACAGTACGAATTCAGAGAGGAGCAGGGATGCAAGCTACCTCAATGCCTGGGCCTGAGGTGTCATCTACAGGTGAGGCTCCCACACTGAAGCTCCACGTGGTCTCAGAAGATAAGAGACCATGCTGGCTATGCGGGCACACAGACCAGGAGAGAGTGCCAGTCTCACATCACCTGTCACCTGGCTTCAGGCACTGACTTCATTTTGCTGTGTCTTGCCAGGTACAAAATCCCATTATTAAATGCCACATCCCAGAGTGGTAGCACCAGTTACTAAACAAACTCAAAACACTAGCTTTCAGAACCCACCAGTGCCACCTCCTTCCTCCCAAGGGCACGCTGGCTCAAGAGCCTGGGGTGTGTGACAAGCGTCATGTTAAAAGTTAAGTGGAAGACATTGTCCCCCAAGGATAATCTGATATGAATAAAACTGAAAAGAAATAGGACTGGCCCCAGTGCACCTGGGATGGACCACACTCTAGATCTGCACTCTCCACCTAATCAAGAAAGATACCAACTCAAAAGTCTGGGAGAGTGGGTTTGAACCACCCACCTGCCCAGATGTTGAAGCCAGTTTCTTCCCCTCTCTGTGCCTTGGATTCTTCATCCATAAGCTGACAAAGGGTTGCATACCAAAAACACAGTGAGCTGGGTGTTCGTGGCAGTGAATGTGTCACTCAGTCACCTGGGGTTGCTGAGCACTTCAATTTCCATGCATGCATTCATTCCACAAACACTTTGGTACTGACAGCCACATACATGGAGGCCCTGAACAAAATCTGCAAGTGCTCAAACCCCATGCATAAAAAAGCCTAGCATAGAACCTGCATGTGTTGTCCCACATATTCTGAGTCCTCTTGGATGACTAATACCTATTACAAAATAAATTCTGTGCAAAGAGTCACTGCTTCTGTTTAGAGAAAAATGACCACACAGTTTGCACATACTTGGTGCAGGAGTGAGTTTTGGATGCATGGTTGGTGGATCCCATGCACAGAGGGTTGAACATGCACAGGGTAGCATGTGAGTATACAAAGGATATTTCACTCTAGAAGAGTAAGTTACATTCACAAACAGAAGTCTGATTCCTCTAGTTGCCAGAGTCTATCTGTTCTGTGGATGTCAGGCCTTAGGGCATTGCTGCAATGCCCTCAGGTAAGAGTACTTGTTAAATCAAAAGTTGCCCCAAACATATTTGCTATCAATGGTGGCAGTGTTGCTGAGGAGGACTCAACATTTTATGAAACTACTCTGGCTCCCAAGGAAATTTTAAAAGGTATTCACCAGGCTTAGTGGTTAAGAGTATAGACTGCTCTTCCAGAGGGCCTGAGTTCAGTTCCAAGCACCCATACCATAAGACTCACTATCGCCTGTAACTCCAGCTCTTAGGGGATCTGATGCCTTCTTCTGGCCTCCATGAGCACTGCACTCATGAGAACATACACACATAATTTAAAAATAAAATTTTAAAAAGTTTAAAGGCATCCATAAGTATGATTTCGAGACTAGAGATCAAACCAAGGATTTTTTTTTTTTTTAAACTGGTTAAGAAATTGGTTTCTATGAACTCTGGTTAGTTAGTCTGAGGTAATTTCAAAACCCCTTGTGGAATGCTCAGACCCAACCCTGCTTCACCAGCGTGTCTGAGGAGCCAGTACTACACCCCAGACACAGAGGCACCAGCCTCAGATGACACCCCTCCTCCCATGTGTCTGTACCAGTATTGAGCTTGGAAAGCAAATCCCAGACCCCACGCAGAGTCCCTGCCCAGGCCACTCAGACCACCAGTCCTTACAGCCATTTCCTAAGAAGCAAGGTAAATAAGTTCAGGGGCCAGTTGGACTGGCTTCTGTCTGACCTCATTTTGGAATACATGGCTTATTTATAATCAACAGCGGTTTTTCCTGGGAAAAGTCTGATCCCTTCTTGCCACCAAAATGGAATGTGGCACTTGCCATGGCTGGACTGGAGAGGTATTTGTTTTCCTTTGAAGAGAACAACTTCAGAAAACACCACCTTCCACAGGGCTGACTGGCTCCCAAACCTCCCGCCCGGAGTGGCAGGCCCTAAGAAGGCCTGTATTCATGGCCAGGGCCCATGCCATGGCCCCTCTCTCCCACTACCCTCCCACAGCCTCCGTACCTGTGGAGTGGCAGAGGTGACCAACACGCTAGCCATCAGACCATTCCTCTTGTACATAGTCTCCAGGCCTCACGGAGCTCCGATGCCACCTCTGCTGGTGACATAACCTGCCTGCAAGGCAAAGGTACCCATAAAAACCTGCTCTGAACCCACAGAACCACACCAGTCTGAGAAGAGGTGGTAGCCTTCAAGCTCAGGCTGGCCCACAGACTCTGGGTGCCTGTTCCCCTCCATGGAAAATGGTATGTTTGTGCCATTGGTGGGCTCGTTCTTCTGGAAAATGCAAGGTTAATTACCAGTGTCCAACAGCTGTATGAATTCTGCATCCGTGGCTCTTCTGGCAGCACTGGACCATATCGTTGCCTGGCCATCCTCCCCCTGCAGACCACTGGGTCCCATCTGCACATCCATCCCAGGATGTACCCGGCCCTCACAGGCCTCAGAAGAAGTATCTATCCCAAAGGAAGATGAAGGCTGATGAAGATACCATACTGTGCCATCACAGCTGACCCCACATAATATTCACCAAGAGCCATGTGCCGCACTCCTCTAACTCATCTTCCCCCTTCCACTATCCCAAGAGGGGCCTTTTAATGTTTCCCATTTTCTACGGAGGGAAACTGAGGCACAGAGAGGCCATGCTCTGGTGAATTTGTTTATTCTATACAGCAGGAGCATCACCCAAGACCCCCCTTGAAGGTCAGGTCTGGTTATTCTGCCTGGACCCCTCATGTGCACAGGCTCCAGAGAGCATCTGTCACCTCCCAGAACACTGAAAGCCACTAGCAGCTTCTCAGCAGGAGAGTGGAGAGATGTAGGCACAAGATAGCAGCTGACTGAAGTTACCAGAGGTTAGGTACTGTGGGCTAAAGTAATGAAGGGGAATGGGCTGGGAGACAGCAAGAGCAGAGAACACAAAAACTCCTAAAGGGCAAATGAGACCAAGCTTTTTTTTTTTTTTTTTTTTTTTTTTTTTTTCCGTCAAGGTACTAAAGATGGTGTAGCTGTCACCAGGGAAAGGACAGAGAGGCGAAGAGGTCTGGGGGTAGGGGGTGTGACATACTTGACTCAGGACACAGTGAATCTGTGGCAGATGGGAAAAATCCATCCTAGAGGGGCTGGAAAGATGGTTGGAGGTTAAGAGCATGTACCACTCTGTCTGTCAGAGGACGAGCACCCATTCAGAGTCTAGCTCCAGGGATCCAATTCCATGGGCCTCCATGGGCACCCACATATATGTGCTCACACATACATACATACATACATACAGACAGACAGACAGACAGACAGACACACACACACACACACACACAGAGTGAATAAGGGGAAAAGGGGAAAGCCCCTAGGGAAACACAAACCAAAACCACAAAGACACCACTTCATACCCAATAGGATGGCCAGAATTAGAATAACAAAAACAAAACCAGATTACACCAAGTGACTGAGGGCTGGGGTGAAACCTTCATGCTCTGCTGGTGAGAGAGCAAATGGTACAGCAGCTTCAGAATATAACTTGGCAGCTGCCTGACTGGTTCCCAGCATCTGCTGCAAAGAATGAGCATATCCCACAGACACACAGAGGATGCCCATGCCCATTGCAGCATCACTGCTAACAGCAAATGCTGGAACCAGGTCAGAGTCTGTCATCCAGTGAGTACCAAGGCAGTGTGGCCTAGCCACACAGCACGCTACTACTACTCAGCTATGAAATGAAACAAGATGATAGCACAGGCCACAGCATGATTAACCCTCAAAAATGTCATGCCAGTGGAAGAAGACAGATGCAAAAGAATGTACAATGTGATTCCATTTTAAGAAATTCCCAGAAATGGCAAACTTATAGGAATAAAGTACCCATGGCAGGAGAAGACTGTCCACAGACACAGAATACTTTTGAGGTGATGAAAGTGTTCTAAATCTGGACGATGACAAGTACAGCACTGAAATGTGGGATCTGGGACTGTTAAGCTGTAGCACAATACATGAGGCGCCCTGAGCTTCATGATGGGGACTCACCTGGCCTGCCTGCCACTCCCTTTGAAGTGACGGAAATAAGCAACATGATAAGCTGGGAAGACAAATGTTAATTACTACAGAAGAGATGGGACCCAGAGCCAAGGAAACCCCTCCTAGGTAGAGGGTGGACAGGCCCGTTCAACAGAACCCCTGTGAGAGGCATAGGAGCTCCAGAATTGGAACCCAAAAAAGATGAAAAATAAACCCAGTTCAAGAGCTCAACCATAGCAATTGGAGTCAGGCCTCTTAGGCTGCCTCAAACCAGCTCAGCCAGCCCACTCCAAGTTCGAGGCTGAGGCAGGCTTTGCTCCTATCTGCATGTGCCTGGTGCTCTGTGGGTCTCCCCAGGGAAGCCAGGCCTGGGCCCCAATCTTCTGAGTATAGCCCAAACCAGAGGTTCTCTGAAGTAGTCCCGGTGGCTCCCTGCTTCTTCCAAAGGATGCTTCCATGGCCGAGGAGATGGCTCAGTGGGTAAAGGTATGTGCTAACAAGTCTGAGGACCTTTGTTCAATCCCTGGGACCTACATTGTAAAAGGAGGAGAGAAGTGATTCCCTTTAAGTTGTCCTGTGACAGAAAGTGCAAGCACTTGTTTCTGATCTGCCTCCTGTGTGTCATGCCACGACAGAAAGAGCCTTGCTGGTGAACAAGAGGTGTGCCTGTGTGTGGAGAATGGCAGGGCCAAGCAGGACAGAGCATCCCATCATGAGCAAGCTCCACTCATTCAGGGGGCTGCTGAGTACAGCACTTGTGTCAAAATGCCATGACTGGGACCTGGCAGTGGACAGATAGGCTAGGGTACAACAAAAGGACTTTGAAGGCTACAGGAAAGAATGCAGGAAGCAATACAGAGGGAGGGTGGGTGTGTGGGTGTGCGTGTGTGTGTGTGTGTGTGTGCGCGCGCACGTGTGCGTGTGTGTGTGTGTGTGTGTGTGTGTGTGTGTGTGTGTGTGTGTGCGGTGTGCGTGTGTGTGTGTGAAGTCCTGTGTATAATCCCTCAGAGGCCAGAAAAGAGCTCTGAATCCCCTAGAACTGGGAACTTAACTCAGGTCCTCCTGAAGAGCAGCAAGCACCTACTCACCCTGAACCTTGCCCAGCCTCAGCATGCATGGACTCTGAAAGAATAGGGCAGGTCTAGTTTTCCTGAAGCCTGACGCATGGTGTAATTAGGACACTCAAAGGGTCAGCATGGGTGACACACAAAGGTGAGCCACAGTGCAGCTAAGAAGCCTCGAGCACATGAGAACACAATGGAAAACATGGGGTACCAGGTATCTACAGCACAAGCAAAAAGGGACCTTTCTCCCTTTCTCCCTTTCTCAGCTCAGTGTCCTCTGGGAAGCCCACGAGCAGGACGGGGAGGAGCCTGTCTGTGTGGCCACAGCAGTAATATCTACCTCTGATTTTCCCTCACCTGGTCAAAGGCAAAGTGTTCACCATCCTTTGTTCTATGAAGAGGATTCCAGCCAGCCCTAGACTCCAGGAGCTCAGGTACAGCCTGGCCCTCAGTGCCTCTGCCACAATCTGCTACACACAGGCTTTGTCTCAGACTCTGGAGACAGGATTTATGTGCATTCGGTAAAACCCATTTGTAGTGATTTGAATGATGAGGTGGTGTGGCCTTTTGGAGGAAATGTGACACTGGAGATGGGCTTTGAGGTTCAGATGCTCAAGCCAGGCCCAGTGTCACTCACTCTCTGTTGCAGATCCTTCATATCTGGATGTAGAACTCTCAGCTGCATCTCCAGCACCATGTCTGCCTGCATGCCACCATGCTTCCTGCCTTGATGACAGTGAGCTAAACCTCTGAACTGTAAGCCAGTTCCCAATTAAATGTTTTCCTTTATAAGAGTTACTGTGGTCATGATGTCTCTTCACAGCAACAGAATCAATAAGATACCATTTTACAGACATAGAAAACAGTGACTGGGGAGATGGATTAAACTCATATCTTTTCACTGGGAAGGCAGTACCAGATTTTTAGGTTTGGGCAAATCAGCCTGTACACAAACCCCATTCTTCCTACCCTCCCTCTCCCTCTCAACTCTTCCCCCATCACCTCTCCTTATGCTAACCCTCCCTGGAAACCGAACAGTGCAAGAACAAAAGCAGTTCTCATGATGTAATTCCTTAAGAGCGCTGTGGCAGCTGTTATCAGAACCACAGAACAACCCCAAGTCTTTCTCTGATCATAACAAGAGTCTGGCCTTGTGTGTGTGGGCTCCCAGAGAGAGAAAGGAAAAGCCCAGATGCAGCCCTGGGCTCCTTCCAGGCATTCAGAGTGCTGTTCAACACTTGCAGCTCAGGAAACCACGGGATGGCCTGAGACGAACGGGCAGACACGCAGATCCCATGAAGAAGACAGAATAATCACTTTTTCCTAAGCCTGTGGGGGATGTTTCAAAGAGACACACACACACCCAAGCATGACCAACTGCAGGAGTGTGATTCCTTCCAAATGTTGCAAATAAGTACAAAAATGGATCCCATACGGGGTGGAAGGAAGAGCTGCATGCCAGGGTGAACTGGGATGTGCTGTCTCAGTCACCACACTGCAAACAGGCTCTGTGCTGGTTCACACACAGAAGCCATGTGCAAGACCAATGGGGAGGAGCCTGAGCCTGCTCTGTTTATACCCACTCCACCAGTACCATCCATCTTAAGAGGAAAAAAAGCAGCCAGGCAGTGGTGGCACACCCCTTTAACTCCAGCACTGAGAGGCAGAGGCAGGAGGATCTGGTCTACAGAGAGAGTTCTAGGACAGCCAGAGGTACACAGAAAGCCTGTCTTAAAAAAAAAAAAAAAAAAAAAAAAAAACAAGCATGGGCCTTCTTGAACCAAGGCCACTGTGAGTCAGATCTGCTGTGGCCAAGAGGCCTCAGAGGCCTCAGAGGCTCAAAGGCTTTAAAGAGAGCTTTGAGAAACAGGAGTGAGAGTGAGGCGCGTGAAGTCAGACTGAGATACGCCAGACACCCTCCAAGTCCTGGGAACATGCTTAGGAGATGCCTCTCCTTCCAGAAGCTAGGAAGAAGGTTCCCTTCTGTATTATGGACATGGTGTCAGAATCCAATGTTCTGGTCCCTCCCCAACTCTATAG